AAAGCGGCTCACTTATACCATTTCGCAGCTTCACTAGAATATACAGGTTACACCGAAATGAGACCTGTTACTTAACATGAACTAGCAGAAAGAACTAGTGAAAGTGCAAGATGCCCATCCCAAGCCGAACAGCGCTAAAGTGAGATAGGATAAACCATTAGTAATAGGCCAATCAATCCTATTTGATTATGCCATGAATCCGATCACTTTAAAGACTAGCGGAAGCACTCTAGTGCCAAGTGCCAGGGTTTCCGAGCGCGCCTGTGGTGATGTCAGGGATCTTTTGTCTCAGGGGAGATTTTGAGAGGTCCAGTTGGGTCGCTTTAACTACCCTGGGGGACCGCGATCTCAGTCTCTATCGGGTTTTCAATATAGGACTTCTCTCTGCTTTTTCAACAAGCCCAGAACTAGAACTCGAACAAAGCTGGACTAAAGTTCATAATTTCCTTAGCGGACTCATTGCATGGGACAAAAATACTTTCAAATCCTGGTGCGACTCTCAACGGTAGTCCAGTGCATGGCGCATCTCGAAAAAGGTCAGACAGTTTCCCTCACTTCCTCTTTGTCCAGCACTGTACATTCTTGCTTTCACAAGCCAGCTGAGAAAGTAGATTCGACGAGAGAAAGTCAGCTTCCCGCTAGCCGCTGGCGACCGCTTGATGAAAGCTTGCTGAATAGCCCCATTCGCGCATCGGTCAGTCGAACTCGTTTTCTGTGATATCTGTGATATGATGTCTGACAAGGAATTTCGAGGTCGCACTCACGCTTTCTTAACGGGCGGGTAGAAATTGAAACATGCGACGCTGGTCAGATTGCATAATGGGCATATCTGTCAGCTCTCTGATGGGCTTGTTTCAACGCTGATTACCTTGAAGGATGGGGAGGGGGTGTACAAAGGCTGTGCGAAATAGGAGATGAGGATTCTCGCCTGAGCGTAAGCCCAAAGGAGGGGAGTACTGTATCTATTGAGATGGCGTTCCTTCCACTTTGTGCAAGGTTTAAATACCTCGCCCCCGCTCGACAGCTCGATCAGAGGATGGAACTAAGGGAGCTCTATCAAGCCATCTCTCAAGGGGGGGGGGGGGAGGCGTAAGGACGTGACCAAAATCCTCAATCAATGATGTGCCCTGTCTGGGGAACTGCGAAATCCGGGTTCTTGTCTATTTGTCCCATGTTCTAATTGGAATCCGTAATGTTAGCGGACCGCAGATTGTTAAGCGGCTACTACCCATTTGGGCGATGATTCGGACTAGCCCGTTCTACCATGTAACTGGTGATGATATATTGACTACCCTATGAACTGGTTACGGTCACTTGTCACGGAAGGTCTTAAGACGATTGAATGGACATACCGGTTGCTACGATTACGAGTGAAGTGATAGGATTTGGTATGCTGTTAGCGCTGGTCGGGCTAAACTTGGCTCTGCTTGTCGACCGATGAACTATGATCTACTATCCATAGAGTATCTATTGCTTTGAAAACAAGCAAGAGTAATCAACAACCGAAATTTTTTCACGATGAAAAATGCCTCCCCCCACCTTCAGAGAATGAATATGACCCTTTCGCAGGGGATCTCCAACATACGACGTGCCCTGGTGCAGGGCCTTCGTAAGGTCACTTGTTTAGCACCCGTTTCACCCCATTGTTGACTGCTGGTACACGGCAAAGCATTTCAACGACCGCAACGCGACGTCGCATTGCGTGAACGCCCCTGTTCCGCACTGGGGGAATAACTGTCAGCGAGGACTTTTTAACCTTCTCAGGAATATTACATGTGAGAAAAATTTACGGAAAAATGATACGATAAAAACTCACCCGATCGACTTTCGTAATGAAGTCGTTGTGGAATGAAATCATAATCTTCACGTTCGAGAACAACCCGGGTGGATTTGTCTGTAATTTTTGTCAATGAAATTCACCATTCAAAGTAACTTACATTAGTGAATCAGCTCTTATTCAGCCAGCGGGTAGGATCTGTTCAAACATGGCACAAGATTACAGGTCTACGAAAATATACTACGGGGATACTGTGCTCCCGAAAATTGCGCGTGAAATTAAATGTGTCAGGCCGAGGACGCACACAATTGGGCAAACCCTACGTCGGTTTGGGTCAGCGCGTAGAGTTGAGCACCTTGGAGCGAAGAGTATATAAAGTTCCATGTCTAGGCAACCCTGCCCCCCCCCGCTTCCCCCACAATTATCAGACTAGGCATTTGTATGCGATCAATTAACCGATCAATCGCGACTTACCGATCGCGTCTTTATTGATTAGTATAGATGTGGTTCGACGACCAACATCTCGTGAAAAGCAATTCGTGTCATTTGAGTGGCCAATCACGAAAATTCTTCCTGGAATCAATAGATCAATAGTATCTCCGTTCGCTCAATGGTGGTGGTATAAACATTCGTATACATTGTAATCTTGTGAAAATTCTTTGGAAAAAACCTACTCAGGGAAAAAACCTAACTAGCATCATATCTCGAATATGGAGTGGGGCGTGGCTATGTTCTTTATCTTCGAGGAACGGCGGTTGCGCGGTAGGTGGGATATCTCCGTTCCGCCACAACTGAAGTCGTGTCTTTGCCCGGTACAACACAGACTCAGACGAAAAAAAACACGCGAAAAACAGCGTTGCGTGCCATGTTCCAATGAATTACGCAGCCACGCCCTTTCCTTGCTGTGGGGTATAGAGTATAAAATACGTCGGAACCGTGCAGCGCTTGCGCTTTTGAAATCTGGTCACACGATATAAGACACACTTAATTCATGGATAGCAAAATCACCTTCAAATAGCGCTTCCGTTAAGAATACGACCTCGATTGTTGTGTCACCACATTCAACTTCGGGCTTTCCTGAAATTTAATTTCTTCATTTTGAAATTTTTCACCTCCAGGATTTTTCATAATGGGAGGGGGGGGAATGAGGGGGGGACGGGGGCACGGAGTAGAATTCATCTAAGCTCGTACAGGTACGCCTTGTGAAAACTTGTAAATTGTTGAAATTAAAGTGGCTCATTTTCACAAGTTTGCAGCTGAACAAGGGTTTACAGATCTTAACGGGGTGAGACTTGTACATGACCTAACATAGAAAGCTAGCGAAAATGCAAAATGCCCCTCCAAGCCGAACGGAGTTGATTGTTATATAATATCTATAGAGCTACCTTCATAGTAGAAGGTCTCATTATTACCTGCTCGGGAAGTTAGCGCGAAAAGACCTCCACCCACACGTAACCTTCTATACTTACCCAGTTGTCCATTTGGCACAGGTATGGCATGGATGACGTGCTGTGCTAAGATGTAGCAAATCAGTAGAAGCCACGAGGTTATCATCGATGCTGACCGGATATACGAGATGACAACTGTGAGCTCTTCGGGTGGGCGGTGTCACAAAGGGGGAAACATGAACGACCCCCACCCCCGCCCCTAGGCGAAAGCCCCGTGGAGACGCAGTGTGTCACATAGCGCAACGGGCGATGGCGTAAGAGCGAGTTTCAACAAAACACGATTTGTCGATTTCAATTGTTATGCTTTAGTGCCACCCCGGTTTATAGCCCTGGCTGGGATACGCCATGGTGTTGCTTTATCACAACAGATCAGTCATCATTAACAGCGTCGTCGTTTCTTTGATGATGACCATAAAAGTGAAGCTGGATGATAACTAGAATAAAGCAAGCAGTAAACAAATCTGCGTGTCGAATGAGGAGCAGAGTGGACAGCGCCATGTATGAGTTTTCAGACGCAGTTTAGGTTGGTGGGGCTTGGAATGATACACAGCTAGGCTTGTACCGGGGCACGTGGCGGAATCTCCTGCGCTATGGGAGAGAGGAGGGATCGTACTCTCCTGGAGAGAGGAGGGATCGTACTCAGAGTTCAAAAGATTTCCCAATTCCTTACTTTTCCCTTTTCAAGTACGCTACATGCACAAATAATGTGCGCAGCCACGCCCTCCTCGTCTCGGCGACATGGAATGTACTCCCTGGTGCTTCGGGTAATTACCAGTGAGGACCTCCTACGCTTTAGGAAATGGTCCGGAAAGTAAACCAGCTTAGTTCTCGTGATGAGAGCGACGAAAGCAGTGAAATTCATTGGATGCCCCCTCCCCCCACCTCCTTAGTCACTGTACGCGCCAGCGGCGAATCAACTAATCATTTTGATTCTAAATGGAATGCAGATGCACGGCGTACTCTAAAACGGATTGATCAACATTGAACACTCATCCTTTAGCCATTTCCATCTGAATGAACCTATGAAGAACTGAAAACTGATGACAGAAGTTTTTGGAAGTGGCTTCACACCAATTATTTGCTTTCGCGCCAATAACCTTTAGGGAGGGGGCATTCAGAGAACCTCGGGCAGAGTTGCATCATCCGAGCAGAACTGCCGTACTTGAGATTGGTTCACCCACTGTGGTCCCTCCTTCCCCTCTAGGCTC